AGTGAAGCCCAGCTAGACAGTCAGCTCAGAGAACCCTGTGGTGTCACTCCAGAACGTGACAGAAGCTGTGCGAGCCTTTCAAGTTAGAAGGAAAGACTTCCTTTGAATGTCATTTTCTGACTATCGTAGGCACAGAAAACGATGCCCACAACACAGTTCACAAACACTGCTGTTCAAACGTCAGTCCCTCCGATGTTTGCCAACAGTGATGCTGAGAAAACAAACGTGAGGTCTTCCGATTTTTAACCTGCCAGGCACATGATACTCAAGGCAAGATAAAGCAGACTTGGCCTTTGCTCTCCAGGAGTTTCTGGAGCCCTGGTGGTAGCCAATATTCAATGAACATAAATAATGGGAAATTAGCAGAAATGTCACAAAGGGAAAGCAGAGGGCTGGGGTAGGGGAGGACATAGGAACTGCTCTCAGGAACAACACAGAGGATCAATGCTGAACCAAGTGGCAAGCATTCAAACACCACATCTTTTTAAAAATCAGAATAGGTTTCAGCTCCGCAGAGTGTAAGTAGGCATTTTCATGGCAGACTGAAAGAGTCTGTGTCTTTTTAACTTATATCTATTTTTTCTATTTTGACTTTAGAGCGGGGAGGGGGGGAAGCTTTAAAAAGGACCAAAGCATTAGAATTACATCAGTTGTAATGCTTTTTACATCCCCCTCATCAAATAATTAGAAGAAAACCCCCATTCTTAAATCTATAATTCATTTCAGAGTCAATGACACATTTAGTTTCAGTGATTTACAAACTGAGTTACACAAAGAAATGACTTCTTTCCTCGACAGACTTAAAGCTTTTGAAATTTAACAAGAGTCTGCTAGCTTAATTCGATACAATTTTAAGTCCATTCTATCAGTTTTCATATCTACACGTCTAACATTATCAGCACAGCCCTACGTCCGTAGCTGCTTGAAGGGAAGCAAGCATGGCTGAGGGCAACCTGGGCCTCAACTACTTCCTAGAGGGAACGAGGTGTGGGCTTGGCTTGTCAGTACAGGAATGTCCGACCGAGATTTTAGCATATCACAAAATTTCAGTGTCTTTGAAATGGAGGTCGTATGTAATATAGATCCATGCCTTGAATAATCTAATTAAGGCAAGAAGTCAAAAGCTTTATCAAGGTCAGTAGGAATGACAGACAGATTCTGGAAAAAGTATCAGTATAAGGGTACATAATTCAGCAGAACATTATCTGAAAAGGTCAAACTTAGCTGTACAGTCAATCGCCTGGGGAGTTAGAAAGGCTTCAGGCCAGCTCCTGAAACACTCACTTGACTGAACTTAGCACTAAGCTTCCCAGTCATCCTCCCTCCCTCCCTCCCTCCCTCTCTCTCTCTCTCTCTCTCTCTCTCTCACACACACACACACACACACACACACACACACACACACACACACATCTCCTAGTCACCATTGTCAAACTTCTATTCAGGGTGAAAACGTCCACTCTCAAGATTATCGATTCTGCCGACCTAATCTTGCATTAAAAAAACTAGTAGAATTTGGCAAAAATGAAATGTCTGCAAACTGATTCTATTCAGCACAGGAAAAAAGATATCAAAGGCGAGTGACTCTTTTTTCCCTGTTCTTTCTGTTATTTGCAATGTTATCCACTAGGAATTAAATGCTGGCTCTTACAGGATTAAGGTTGGGCTAACTTGTGAAAAAGTTTATTTTCACTCATTTGTGTCTCTGTCAAACTTTCCATTATAAATTTTATTTTCTCTGCCAGTAAAAGTAATATGAGGTTGTGAGTTGGCAAGAAAAATTTAAAACTGGGGTGTGATTTCCGTACACCAATTTGATGTAAATTAGTTTCTCTGTATTTTGTGAGAGAGCCTTGAAAAGGCACTTTTGTCTACACAATTTCCCAAGTTGCAAAAAGTCAGTATGTGTATTTCTGATAACTTCACATGGAAGTATATTGATGTGCTTATTTATATTGCTGCTCATTTTAAATGAATCCAAATTAATTGATAATAAAGAACCTGATGGCTTTTTATTTTCCTGCTAAAATACCAAGTTTTAGAAAACCATATCTATTGCTATTAATATTAAATCCTTAAGAGAAACACATCCATCGCTTATGCGCTCTCTCTCTCTCTCTCTCTCTCTCTCTCTCTCACACACACACACACACACACACACACACACACACACACACACACACACACTGAATGCATATATATCACAGTGATGTACTTTTGTAACCCTAGCCATCTCACAATAATAGGTAAATCCTCCAGGACAGTGGTTTACTACCTGTTGATTACCACCACTGTTTGTGTGGGATGAGCCAAAATCCACTGGGACTAGAATAAGCATGCTCCCACAGAACACTGCTCATCCCTTCAGGTTCACGGGCTACATTGTTATCCTATGAAAAGGCGGCTCTGCGGCTCCTGGGGCCAGGCCGTCTAAAGGTTTTCTGTCCAGCATTTCACTAACTAGCAACAGGAGAAAACAAAGGCGTCTGCCCCTCCCTCCCCGAGAGTCACTCACCTTGTTACACAGTGGGGAATCATTTCAGCTGTGATCTGCTGTTTAGACTCCAAGCCCCAGACACAGGGACTCGGCCTTTCTTTGAGATTTGTTTGGCTCAAGTCGTACACAAGGGTTCAAAGAACAATGCAGCTCAAGAGAAACCGACTCACTGAGAGACAAACTCTGGTCTGCTCTTGTCTCAAATTCCACAGAAAGCCGAAAGCCAGACTATGTACACATTCTCATCTCCAGGCCCTATTTCCCCACACAGGGAACTAATTCTCAATATTTCCCTTTTATTATCCTTAAGCATTGCACTGTTTATAGGTGGACACTGCTGACACCAAGCTGAGCACACCGAGAGCCAGTTCTTGCCAGCACGAAGCCGAACTCAGAGTGAATAAAGGCTGTTCCACACTCCCAGCTAGATTCTGAAGAATCTCTCAAGAAAAGCAAGAGCAGTAACATCCCCAATATACAAAAGAATTTCCCTGGATAGGAACTAGTCGAGGTCCCGAAATATCAGCCCTCACACACTCCAGGCAACCACCTCAGTTCCCCCCATGTCCCTCTCCGCTTCTCACCTGGTGTTTGAAAAAAAAATAATAAGTTCAGTTTCACCCGAGGAAAGTGTCCCCCAAAAAAACGGAGGGAGAAGGGACTTCACACTGCACACACACTGACTCCCACGGTCTGGAGGATGCTTTCCCAAGTTCAGGGGCCTCAGGCTTACTCAGCAGAGGAAATCTCTATGTCTGTGAGGAATCATGCCAATTTCTATTAGTAAGAAAGGATACAGGGACTAGGAAGCCTATTCTCTCAATGACCAGCAAAAGGGGCCCAGCGAAAAATAGCGACCTGTGCCATGACCATCTGCAAAAAGGAAGGATGTTGTTAACTTTCTTCTCCCCAAAACTCTGGCGACCTCTGCCTTGACCCTCCGAAACCAGACTCACAGGAACCAGCTTTTCTGCAGGAATTGAGAGCTTTACACCAGAGACCCGGCTCTGCAAGGCTGGTTGCCCAGGCTATCTGCCCCGAACATGTGCACTCACATTCCAAAGATGTTTCCGTTGCACTGGAATGGCTGTAAATTTCTTTCCTGCAGAATTCTTTCCACACAAACTGCCATGGGCTACACTCCTGTAAGAGTTCTCAACCAAACGCTGGGCGGCTCATCGCAACGAATCTTTTAGACGCAGAGTATGACTGAATTGGCAAGTGGGCCAGAGGAGTCAACTTTTAAAATGCAAATGTATACAGCGGGGAGGGGAGAGAAACCCCTCCAGAACCAATCCCCCAGAATTCTACCTTCATGATAGATGAGGGATCCCACAAAGGAACCCTTCTTCAATGCCCAGTTATATTACTGAGGCATGTGTGGGCTTACATTTTTTAGGGATATAATAAACAGGTTGTTTAAAGAAAAAAAATACCAAGTGGATTTTTTTTCTAGATCATTAAAGAAACTAGGAGAGCAAAAGAGCTTAAAAGATGAAGCATCCCTTTTCTACCTAAAAACAAACGTCCGCTTTTTCGTTGGGTGAAGAATAAAATGGTACAAGACTTGGGGTGTTAAAGGGTACTAATTTCAGTGAGAGCTTTTGAAAGCAGTTCTGCTCTCTAAAACTACAAATTAAAATGTGTGTTTTAATCATGACTGGTAATAAGACTAAAATTCAAAAATTAAAAAAATATCTACAAAATTGGAACTGACTTGAGGGAAAAACTTCCACTTTTGCCTATAGATAGTATTTTCAGAAATGTGCTCTCCAGAGAGTTGAAAGTATACAAACGCAGAGGGCATGGATACACATACGGGTGCACGAGCGTGTACATGTGCATACACACACATACACACACACACACACACACACAATACCATTGTGCTACACTGACATTTCATTATTTCATTAAAGTACTTTTCTCTTCCTAACTCACGCATGCTTCCCTTGTGACGGCTTTGCTGTTAGCCTGCTGGCCTTGACTTCCGGCCAAAAACAATCCACAAACAAAAAAGGACAACAAATCATATTTTCGAAGACATTTTTATCTCTCAATCCCACCCTGTTTTCACACAACATCATCTAACCTCTAAGAAAACTGTAATTTAGAGCTATCCGCCCCCCCCCCATCCCAGCATCTGACACACTGAGCATTTCTTGGGTGAGAAATTATTAAGCTCTTAATTGCAAATAAACTCTTTTGATGGACCTACTTTCACTGACCTAGCTGCTCTGCAAACAGTACCACAGTACTGGGGTACTGGCTGATGAAAAACAAGCCCGTGGTTGTAGTTTTGATTCCGCCGAGCTCTAAAAACAAGATGTTTGTGAGTTCTAAGCTCTGGGTTGCTTCATTCCTTAAAGACAGTCATCGGGAGGCTCTCTACCCTCCGCGCACCTCAGTGTCACAACTGAAAAGACATCACAATCACAGCTGCTCAGCCCTCTCATTTCCCAGGTTAACTTTCAGCTCTTCCCCAACCCAGAGGGGCACTTACCTGGTGGCAACCCTGCACGTTTTCTCTCCCATAAGATGAGTATGAGCCCCTTTCTGCTTTACCTGCCAAGAGAAACAATAAAACAGTATAAATCGTGCTTTTCCTTTCAAGAAAACCTCCCCTGCAGGTAAGAGATATCCACTCCCCATTCCCGATGTTTACATACGTAAAGGAGGCACTACTGGCAATGTATGCAAGCAAGACAGGGAATAACACTTTCTCACTCTGGCGACAAGAAACTGGAAAAAAATATCCTTCATTCCTATTCTTAGCCAAACTGCTCCACACTTCCAAAAACTGTCATTCCAGTGGCCTCCACTTTCTCTAACAAACAAATTGTCATTCCTTATTTTCACTTTCTTCCTCTCTCACAAAATTTGAACAATTTCATTTTTATTTACACAGCAGGCAAATGATCTATGTAATGACCCTAGCCTGGTAATTCCCATTGATTATATTGACACTTAATGGGGAGGCCAGAGCTAATCAATCACGGGCTCTCCAGATGGTGGAACTAGCGAAGACACTGTTCGAAATTCTAAGCCCCCTTCCCCCAACCCCTCTCTCCTCCCTTTTGAAAACTCCCTTTCCCAGGAGTGATCCTCATCATGATCAACACGATGATGGAGAGGACACATGGGAAAGGGGACTTGGGAAAATCACCCATTCTGAATCCAGGTTCAGATTCTACCAGGAGACCCAGCGAGTCCTAGGATCAGGCTTTTGAGTGTCGTGTCCAGATTCCAAACTCCACATCTATCTCTAGACTGCTCAGGACAGGTAGAGATTCTCACTGCAACTGAGCCCCATGTGCAGACGAACCCAAGGGCGCATGTTTTCTTCTGTTTAGACCTTAACAGAAATTGCATTACAAGAGGTGTAGTTGAATCCAGCTGGTGATGATCAAAGGGTTGCTCTAGAAAACTGACCACACCAAATGACATGGGGTTAGTGGGGCAAGCTAATGCTCAGAACCCACTTCACCCAATACCGAAGAACACTTCTCTCAAGATTAGTGTTTTAAGGTACACTGTACTTTATAGACAGCAGTACACTAGTCTCCTATCCCAAAGGGGAAATTCAAAGCTTCTATTTTGAGGAGCTGAACCAACATCCTGTTAAAGTTTACAACCCCCAGATTTTCCCTTCTCCACTCAACACGAATGCCGAAAGGAACAGTAGTCCTTTTCTCTTTGGGTTCAATGTCAATGTTATCAGAATAAGCCTCCTTGACAGCACACACAGAATGTGTCTTTCGGGGATTCTATCTCTGGTGTCAAGTGTGCCCCATGTCTATGTCACTATATTAACACATCCAATGGAGGATTATTTTCAAAGAGAACAAGTTTTGAGTCTTAGGCACCCACCCCACCCCTGTATTAACTTTTCTACTGATTTTAACAAAACTCAAACTTAGGAATACTATACTTCTTCTACTGTGCTCCATGCAAAGTGTAAAATCAATGCCTATATCAGCCTCAACTCCAGTGAGGCGAGACACCATCACACAGAGTGTCAGTCCTGCGAAACAGAAAGGAAGAACTCCACTGCATGTGACTGTGCAGGTGAGTTTACCTGTGCCCACTGCACATGGTCACACAGAGATCCTTAGCCATTTGGGTCATGTCAGCTACCCGACCCTTTAACTGCTCTTTGTAACCATTACTGTAGTAATAGTAACGTGACTTTTATGAGCAATATCAAAAAAAACACAGGTCCTTCCTTAAGCTCTTACACACAAGAAATCTTCAAGTGTACCATGACATATTTGATTTGGACATGACAGTCACTGTTTAATCACTTCCTGGGCAGATGGACAGGTAGGCAGACAGAAAAGTTTTTTTTTTTAAGTGCTTTGACCTTGTAGGAATATGAAAATCTAATGTCCTGTTTTCGTAATTTCCAAATATCGAATTGTAAAATATAGGCCTAAGATAAAATGACTGGTTTTTGTTCCATTTTTTTTTTCTGAAGGAAATTACCACCTGATATTATTCCAGAACTCATCTCTAACGAACAAAACTGGGGAGAACCATTTTCCTACCAGCAATTGTCTTGCTACATACCCACAAGCCGGGGCCACTCCTTCTATTAGGAGAATGAAAACAGGAAGGACAAACACAGGAACAGGAGAGCGAGAGAGAAATAGATAGGGTGTGGAAGAGGCAGAAAGAATAGAAAAGAACGAGCAATAGGCTAGGAAGGGAAGGGAGGAGGTCAGAGGCAGGAGGAGGAAAATATGAATTCACGCGGCAGAGAGTCCCCAAAGCACTCTTGGCTCCATGGGCCCAGCAGTCTTTACTATCATATCAGATACAGACTGCTTAATCTTAATTTTGCTTGTTAAAAAATATTTATCCAGATACAAAAATAAACCCACTGCAAATTACAAGTTGTCAGGGTTAAAAATCTACTCCTGTTTGTGTGGGGGAGGAGGAGAGAACAGCACAGACATGAATCATTCTCCCGTAATTTGAGTGTTTCCATGACATCAACGGGCACCAGTCCAGGACTCTGTCGAAGTCTGCGAGGTACCAAAGAGGCAGCGCAGCCAGCGGGAGGCTGGGAGGTGGACTATTTTTTTTTTTTTTCCCAAGGATTATGCTCCTTGTGAAGGTTTCATCTGTACCATCCACTTTCACCATCAAATGGATCGCTGCGGAGATCCTGAGCGAACACATTTCATTCTAATAGTGTGAGCCTTTAACTTTATTGCAGCTTTTTGTTCCCAAATTCATCTATAAATCTGCCCTCAGAGCCCAAAACCCTGGTAGCAAAGTAATCAGGGATTGTGGACAAAGCCCCAGGACCTCTCAAGCATCAGATTTTCTTAGTTCTATCATTTTTCAAATGATAAGAAGCAGCCATTTTAAAATGGCACCTCAGTTTCCAGAAAAAAAAAAAGTCATGTATTTCATGTAGTTTGTCCATTAAAAATTAGGCATGGTCTTGATATGAATTTTCTGTTTCAAATTCACTGGAATGTTTGTTTCAAGATAATGAAACTTTGAAGCTCACTGATAAGATGTCTGAGTAGGACCCTTAAGTAACTATGTATGTTCAGGGACACAAAGGCCCCTAAATATCTGTGTTTCCTCTATGTCAGGCATGGATTTTGTCAACTGGCTGGCACACAGAGCCTATTTCCTCCTCTCCCCATTATTCACCGCCCACCCTCAGCCCCACAACCACAACAGGCTCTTTGAAGGAGCTCAAGATTCCATTTCTCCAATATTTAAAAGAGATAGCGGCGCGGAGCACACCGTGTAAGCTCACTGCGGAGTTTTCGAGACAACCCTCCAGTCCTAGAATGCGACAGCCGCTGCGGATATTTTTTGGCACAAAGACAATGGTGGCAGTGCCAAGCCCCATGGCTAAAACTACTCAAAAGAGGCATAAGGGTAGCATTAATCGCTCAAGTCTTTTACTGCGTGGAGTACTGTTGTCCATATTTTAAAAACTAAAAGTACCCGTTAGTAACATTTGTTGTATGCCTGTAAATTGGGGGAGGGGGAGGGCTTGTTGAAATATACATATATGAGAAGCCCATCTTGTCAGGCACTCGATTCATTTTTAAACCTAAAAGGACCAAATGTTAAATTTTGCTGCTGGTAACAATTTCCATGCAGGAAACGCATGGTCTGACCTGATGAAGGATGTTGAGATGGCTGAGTGAAAAAGACTGAGAGAATCCTCTGCACTAAGTCCAAGTGCTAAACAACGTCTCCTCTCCAGCAAGGCTCTATGTATACAAGGAACATGGAATGCTGTGTCACAATGGTTTTTTTTTTTCTAATTAAATATGAAGAATGCTGTAAGTAAGCAGACACAGCATGTGTCAATCAGTCCTGGAGACAAAGGAGATCATCATGCAGCCTCTTGTCTAGGACAGGTCGGTCGGTGTCTACAGCGAGCAAGTGATCCAGGAAGTCAACAGAGGCTTTATTCAAATCAAGCTCATCCTATGGCTGAAATCTATATTTAAATGTGATTGCTAAAAATGGCACCACATGGCAGTCAATAAGGGATCTGCTTCCTTCTTTCTGTTGTTCCTGCAAACCTAATCTCAGCAGAAAATACCAGCCATCTACAATTTTTAAGGCCAATATTTTGGCTGACCCTGACAATAATCTTTTATCATGTTATCCCAGAAACCAGGGCGAAAATTTGTTGTTGTTGTTGTTGTTGTTGTTGTTGAAATTTGAGGGCAGTACAGTTAGGAAATATCTAAAGAACCCAGATTCAATCTTTATATAATCTATTATTTGTCATTAGACATCTGACTTTCCTTCCAACATATCACGGTATCGTATTGCAAGGGAATTGAATGGCAATGAAAATATTACAGGAAGGGAAATGGGCTCAGAAACCCATTCTACTCACAAGGATAGTAGCATCACCTTTAGTAGATTAGTGTGCCTGGGCGCACACAACAGTTTAAAGCCACATGGAAAGACCCAGAGACAGACAAGACCAACTTCTCTGTGGGATGATTTCTAGCTTGGTAAGCTGAGGCATAGAACATCCCCTGGTGGTTGATCAACAAGAGGCCTGGGTCCTATTGGGGTACTTGGCCCCTGATTTGTAAAGGGCCTCGCTAACACTTCTATGCAGGTGGAAGATGTTTTTTACCAACCACTGAAACAGGAGCACCTGTGCAGTGGAACTCCGCCTCCTCTTCAAAGCTTTGATGAAAAATTATCTGATCCCACAGGACAATAGCAGCCAGGCTATTTCCCTGCTAATCCTCGCTCTGGGAACCGAAGAATGAGTCTTTTGTTCCTCCGCAGCAGACTAGGGAACTCATCATAAACATGCTTGACTTAGAATAAATTTCTGTCCCTGTCCCAACTCCAACCTATCTGGGCATACCCTATTAATCTGTGCCTCTTCTTTTTTAATACAGTGAAAGGGCTACTCTGTTAAGCAGTAGCTAGAATTTTCAGGGGTAATGAAAATACACACTGGTGATTACTTAAGAGTCCTCTCATCAACATGGCTGTCTCTTCATGTCCTACCCAAGTCAGAAGAGCCGAGAGCTCACCTCACACGAGCCACTACC